CTCTAGTAATATATTTACTGAGAAAAATGGTGACGTGTTCAATACTTATTTTTCCTGCTGTATATGTGAAAAAATAATAAAAGACAGGAAAGTAAAAAGCGAGGTGCAACTTAACTGAAGCAAACATTCTCCAGAGGATTAACAACTTGATGACATCTGTGATACTTTTCCCCCTCTTTCACTGCACACATCTGTAAAATGTTTTTTTTTTCTTTTTAGTATACTTCTTTTCCATATAACTTAATAGAAATGGTCTGTGGTAATCCTGAGCCTGCAGGTTTAAGCCCAGATTGTGTTAAAAAGGACAAAACAATTGACTCTTGTAGAAGGGAGCAGCCAAATGAAACTTTTTTTTTCATATGTTAACTTAAAAATGCAAAGATGTCACCAACAAAGAGGACAAGAGAGGATAAATATGTTTAAAAACTTTTAGTTTTTTCTCCTTTGCCCTTTTTTATCCATTCAGATTTTTGTTTTAGGTTGGAACCAATGGAAAATGTTATAAACRCTTAGTWTCTTACCTGTTATAGATAACTCTTTGACCCTCAGTTTAGAGAAAATGATTTCAGTTCTAACCAGAATGAAGAGTGAATGGCCAGTTTTAGCAATATTAAAGGCACTACAAGGTCAAAATTTGCTGGAAGTATGTATATATATTGACAAAAAATACAGATCTAAGAGGTGTAAGATGAGACTTTATTACTCTAGAGGAAATCCAGAGGCTGCCAGTCGCTTCAAATCACACAACACGATGATAAGAAACCAACACAGATATAATGAAAGGCAAGCATAAAGAAACAAAATGTMAATTGGTAAAAGCTTGATAAATTGACGGTTTGATTGATGGATTGATTGGATTGATGTATGTATCTGCTGCTGCTATTACACCTGAATTTCCCTGTGCGGGACAGTAAAGGCTGTTTCTATTCTATTCTATTCTATTCTATTCTATTCTATTCTATTCTATTCTATTCTATTCTATTCTATAAAGTCTTCCTCAAGATTTATACAGCTGTTTGTCAGAAACAACATACTGCTGTGGAGGAATGTTACATTAGCTTAAACTTTTATGTATTTGCATACAGTTTGTTTGTTGCTGTTTTTCTTGTGTCTGTGTGCTGAGCATATAGACCCAGTGAAGCAGACCGTGAATAGATGGATGTATCGATCTGCCTGGAGCTGAGTAAAGTTTTGTTCGATTAGATGTGCTGAGTGGGYGGAGTCACCCGATAGAAACATGCTGAACCAGACATTGAGTCAATGTAAAAGGGCTGATAGTGTGTGTACTGAGGTTAGTGTTTAGGAGACTTGACTCTGAGAGGAAAAGAAGGTGGAGGAAACTGCTGCTCAGAGAGAAACAGCCTCTGCTGTGCTGTGGGGACACCTGCTGGAAGGATCTGGTCACTGCASTCTTTAAAAAAATAAAAAGGTCACTGTGCAGTGTCTGCTGGACGTGAAACCATGACTGTTAAAGGAGATTGTACTTCAAATTTAAGGAATAGGTTTATGGAATAATATTGAACAATTTAGATGTTTAAAAGGATGATAAAACTAGTTTATTAAAAACAAGCAAAACAAAACATGATACTATAGTATTTATGGATGTAAACTGTTGTTCAATTAAAATGTAATATTATTTTTGTTTTTATTTGCCATTATTACATATGTTCAAATTAAGTCTGAAACTTGGATTATGATTGTTTGAGTTCGTTTTTTGTATTTTTAATGTATGTTTTTTATATATTCCTTTTGTTTCAGTGATGTTAATACAAAAATAAAAGGTAAAAAAAATGATGAGTGTCTTTGTTTGTTTCCAGGTGAACAGAGAAATAGTTTCTGGTCTGAAGTATCGTCATGTGACCTACAGGAAGGGAGTGAGAAGTATGTTTGTTTTAAGCTCTTTATGACATTTAAATCTGTTAATTGTTCCTTTTTAAAATTTAACACATTTTGTTTCTGTTGGTTTCAGAGGATAGTGTGGTATGCATGATGGGAAGCTACGGCCCCCGAGAAGAGGAGCAGGAGTTCCTCTGCCYGGCTGAGGAGGCCCCAAAGGGCGTCTTGCTCCGCGGCCAATATCTGATCAAATCCTGCTTCGTCGACGACGACAAGAACGTCTACTTATCCTGGGAGTGGAACCTGAACATCAGCAAAGACTGGAATTAAAAATAGCTCTGTCCTTCTCCCCTCAGTCACCCTCTTCTTCACCCTCCTCATCCTCTGAGCCTTGCAAGTCAGGATGCTCTGTTTTCTCCCCTTCTGCTCCTCCTCCCCTGCTGCTGCTTTCTTTCTCTTCCTAACGCCTGCATCCTGAGTGATCTGTTTTGACGAGCAGGTTCTGGCTTCCCTTCCATGCAGGCTTGTCACAGGAAGTCCCACAGTTACTGCTGGGGTGACGTAAAGGCATCAACAACCTGCCGCTGCTGATAAAACCTGCAGCATCCAATCAGTCTGCCTWAGTGAAAGTTTGTTAGGTTCGTTTGACAAAAACAAAGGGACGGACTGTTTCAAACGGGGGAGATAACTTGTCTAAATTTGTGTCTGTGGCTCCTTTGAAAACAACCTCAGCTGACCGACGCGCTGTATATGAGAAAAAGGAGAAATAATGCTTTAAAATGTATTTACTCTTTGACTAAAGTGTCTAAAAAGATGTTTTCAAACTGCCTGAACAGCAGATTGAGTGGATAGCAATTCATTTAAAATAAAGATTGTTGACYTTAAATAGTTGTAACTTTTAGCCTAAATTTTAAAATTCTTAATTCCCCAGGTTGGCTGGAACTGAACTGTGTATACTGTAAAAAATAACAAAAAAAAAGATGCATGTGTCATCTTTGGGATTTAACACCTAAAAAAAGAATAAAATCTTTTTTTTTTGTCTTTGTAAGAAATATAAATGAAGTTTTGCTTTTTGGAGTTAGGAGTTAAAGACATGAAAGGAAAGCTAGATAACCACTTAAAAGTGTGTGTGCGTGCGTGTGTGCGTG